CATTATTTTATTATTCAGTTTACTTAACCTAAGGTTGCTGGTTTGGGTGCAGTCCTGCATCAGATTGTGTCTGAAAGACACTGCTGTTTTGTGAGGAAATCCACACATTAAGGAAAAAGGGAGAAGAGAGGGGATCTTTTTCCTTATTTTGATTGGTATGGTGCCACCATCACTTATCTTTTGATGTATTATTACTTCACAGTGCTGGCCCCAAAGGCGATAACATCTATGAATGGAGATCAACCATCCTAGGGCCGCCAGGATCCGTGTATGAGGGCGGTGTCTTCTTCCTTGATATCACTTTTACACCAGAATATCCTTTCAAGCCTCCAAAGGTAAGAAATTCCTGATTTATACTAAAATTTCATATTCCCATGAGAGATTATTGAAGCTCTTAAAATTGTTTTTAATCACAAAAAGTAGGTTTGTATTATATCTTACTGGAGCGATTTTCCAATGTTTTTCATCTCGTGGCACATATGAACTAATCACTAAAATTCTGTGGTGCACCAAAAAGATATTTTGTTGACATTCTGACACCAGATGGGCATTGTTGGGTTAGCTATTATTTTTTAATTTTTTAAAAAGATTTTATTTATTTTTAGAGAGAGGGGAAGTGAAGGAGGGAGAGGGAAAGAAACATCAGTGTGTGGTTGCCGCTCGTGCACCCCCTAGTGTGGACCTTGCCTGCAACCCAGGATGCGTCCCAAGTGGGAGTCAAACTGGCAATCCTTTGGTTCGCAGACCTGTGCTCATTCCACTGAGCCACACCAGCCAGGGCTCATTTTTTTTATTTTTAAGGGAAAAGAGGCTAGTGCCCCTGACTGAAATAGCTATTGCATGTTTTAAAAATTCTTGCGGCACACTAATTAAAAATTGCTGTCTTAATGAATCTCTAAGTACATTTGAACGCATACAAAACACTCCTTTGGGTTCACTTTGCCTCATTTGGCAGAGACCACTTCTAGGAATAAATGCTTTGTTTGGCTCTGCTACAGTAGTCTCCCCTTTATCCCCAGGAGGTATGTTCCCCCAGCAGAACCCTGTAACCACAGAGAGTACCACGTCTGTATATAGTTGACCCTTGAACAATGTAGGTTAGGGGTGCTGACCCCCCTCGTGCAGCTGAAAATTCACATGTAACTTTCAACTCTCCCATAACTTAACTACTAAGCCTATTGCTGACCAGAACCCTTACTAATAAATAGTCAATTAATACATATTTTGTATGTTATATCTATTATATACAATAAATCAGCTAGAGAAAAGTTTATTAAATCATGAAGGGAAAATACATTTATAGTATTTATTGAAAAAAATCCATATAAATGGATCCATACAATTCAAACCCATATTTAAGGGTCAGCTGTACTGTTTTTTCCTATACCTACATATTTATAATAAAGTTAAATTTGGAAATTAGGCATAGTAGGAGATTTAGAATAATAATAATAATAAAGTAGAATATAATATACCGTAATAATAGGAGTTAGGTGAGTGTGGCATTATTGGATAAAGTAAGGGTTACGTGAACAAGCATTGTGGCCTTGGCAGTTGATCTGATAACCCACACGGCTGTGAGTGTAGGTACATGGATATGCTGGACGAAGCGATGATTCACATCCCAAGCAAGACAGTGGAAGATTTCATCACACTGCTCACAATGGCTCATAATTTAAAACATGAGTTGTTTATTTTGGAATTTTCTGTTTAATATTTTTGGACCACAGTTGGCCATAGGTAACTAAACTCATGGAAAGCAAAACCACCAGTAAGGAAGGGGCTTACTACTGTATTTATAGTAACACAGCAATTAATCTCCTATTTTCCACTCAACAAAAAGTTTCTAAACAGTTGAAAATGGTGTCAAAATATTCATGCACTAAGACAATTAAGAATCAGAATCTCCTACCAAAGCCTTAGATTCTCCTGCTTGCCATCTTTTGGTGGTAAAAGTCTCACCCTCCAGGCTTCGGATGTCCCATCCAGGATGGGTAGGACTGCCCAAACCATCTACCTCCCGTAACACTCAGCCATCTTTGACGCCCAGTCACACTGTCAGAAGGAAAACCTCTTCTTGGGGATGGGGCACACTGTTAGAGGCATGCACAATTGCAGAAGCAAGTGTTTCAAAGTCTGTCAATCAAAATAAATGGTAAAGTTACAGGTTATTTTTAGGTTGGAATGATCCAGGGTGTTTCACAAATAAAAAGTAGACCAAACAAAATAACCCAGGCTCATGTGGCTTCTGCCTGCCTCCTCACCTGTGGAGACTCTGTGAGTTCTGTGACTTAGGTGTACAGGATATCTGCAGGATCCGACATAAAGGTCAGAAAAGGAAAAAAAAAACCCTTCAGATTTTTGGGTCAATTTTGAAAGTGATATTTCTTTGCTAAATACAGCTCTTTGGGTGTGTGATTATTGTTTAATTGTCTTTATGTACCTCAGTTTGAATTCGTGATTCTAAAGCTTGCTTTGAGGCCTTGTAGTACCACTGACTCACACAAGAGGTCAGCAGTTAGCTATTCAAACATGGAAATGTTACAAAAATACTTAAAACTGCTAAAAATGGATTCAAGAAATATTGTACTTAAGTTACCTTGCCTTTTGTTGATGGATATTTTTTATGAAATTGGCAGCCTCTAAGATTATACAATGAACATTTTTAAATCTCAAATTTATTAAACAGTCTCTTAAACCTATTTCTTACAGGCTTTAGATAAACTGTTGTTCACCTTTTTAAAAACTTCTAAGAAGTTTTTAATTAGGGCCACTCAATTTAAAAAGTAATCTAATAAAAGGCTTCATTGTTTGATGTTTTCCTTTTAACACTCTTATTTTTTAGGTCACATTTCGGACAAGAATCTATCACTGTAACATTAACAGTCAAGGAGTTATTTGCTTGGACATATTGAAAGATAATTGGAGTCCAGCACTAACCATTTCTAAAGTCCTCCTTTCTATCTGCTCACTTCTCACAGACTGCAATCCTGGTGAGGTTAATAATTCGTTACCTTGTTTTTTTCTTCCTTACCTGAAAAATACTCCCCCCCACCCCCCACCACAGAAACTAAGATTTTCTAAAGCTAAAGTGTAGGTTTTATTTTTCTAACAGCTTTCAAAGGACAAAAACAGCTTTGTAAAGAAATTTTTAATCAAGATAAGTTCAGTCTACTAGTTGGAAAAAGCAGGAATTCTACCATTAATTGATATTATGTTCTAGGAGCGAGGTGTTTGTTTTAAACTGAAGATTTTCAGTTTGTCATACGTTTTCACATTTTTTAGTCATTCTCATTTTTTTCTTTTTGCACAGGGTGGGACAAAAGTAGGTTATAGTTGTTAAAATGGAAAACAATATAAGAATGAATTCTGTTTCACACAGTCACAACTGTAGACCTACTTTTGCCCCACTCTGTAAGTATTTCTCGCATGGTTCTCTTAAAACAAACCACAGACTTCTAAATGTTGAGCCAGCTGCCCGTGTCATCTCACCTGTGTCTGCAGGCTCACTGAGCACTTGCCCTACAGCTGGTTACTGGCGTGGTGGTCAATTTTGAAAGTGATATTTCTTTGCTAAATACTCACTGGTTACCAGACCGTGATGGGCGGGCTTAATTACTTTTATTAAAAACACTTTAAAAACAAATATAAAATTAATCAAGATTCTATTTAGGATTCAGAAGAACACTATACTTAGGCCCAGGTAAATAGTGAACGGCACACAGTACTCGGTGCCGTTCAGTGAAAGGAAAGGTCCTGTGAACTCAGTTGGACAGTCCTTGTAGTGAGGAGCCCTCAGCATTCCAGTTTCCACTGAATTTACCCTAACCCGTAACAGCCAGAAAAGCCTCGGACGTAGAGCCAGGCCCGTAGTGAAAGCCTGAGCATTCTATGTTAATAAGAACTCTCCCACTGCCCACCGTGTGCTATGTTTTTTAAACTACCCAGAATGGTGAAGTGTTGTTTCAAACATGGATTTGATCACCCATCCTTGAAACATTTCTCCCTGAGTTCTCACTAACTTACTTGCAAAAACTTAAAATACTCCTTTTCTTTCTCCAAAGTAACCTATGTTCTTTTCTTCCAGCCGACCCCTTGGTGGGAAGCATTGCCACTCAGTATATGACCAACAGAGCAGAACATGACAGAATGGCCAGACAGTGGACCAAGAGATACGCTACATAAACCGGGTTTTCACAATTCTTACCTTATTTGTCTGTCACAGAGAGAGCTGCTTTTGATTTTGAAGGGGTGGGGGAGGGTGGGAGTTGGTAAAGAGTAGGGTATTTCTATAACAGATATTATTCAGTCTTATTTCTTAAGATTTTGTTGTAACTTAAGGTATCTTGCTACAGTAGACAGATTTGGTAATAGCAACATTTAAAATTGTCATTAGTTCTGCAGTATAAGCTAAGATGTAGTACAGAGAAGAATAGACATTTGGATTCAGTTGCTTGCAGTCTGTAAATTTAGAACAGCCTGATTTTGTACAGACTACACACATGGCCATTTATGTGACGTCCTTCCAAGACTACATACTTTTTTGTTTTAAAAAATGGAAACTTGTTTTCCCTTCTTGGAAGGGAACATTGATATTTAACAGTTTTTAGAGACTGTCATCTCTAAATGGACACATGGCTATTAAGACACCACATAGGAAATGAGTAGTTATGTATTTTATTTTATATGCCAATCTATTGTGAAAAGATTAGAGTTTTGAATCAGGACTTGTGAAAACCTGTAGTAAAATACCTTAAGCTGTTAACTGTAAGGCGTGGAGTAGGAGTTGCTCAGTGGATTGGTTATTTGTTGTGGGCTACTTAAGCCTGCATTTGTTACTGTGCTAATAAACAATATTAAAACAACCACCTACCACTACTGTATTCATTTACTTTCTTCAGCCTTTGTGTTTGGAAGAGTCTTTCTTTTAAAGTTGATAGATTTTGCTACTAAAGCAACCTAGAAGTAATTGCAGACTGAATGAATTGGTACGGTACTCTAATTTATACAACAGCCTTGTAGGATAGATTTTGAGGTGTCTTAGAAAAGGTTAATCTAACTCACCATCTTTCACAGATAAGCCCAAAGGTGAATAGTTTTAAACGCATTTTTAAGTTACAGATGCCATGGTGGCGGGTACATGAGAAATGGGTTCTCTTGTGGATAAATTAGTACAGCCACATTAGAGGGCAATTTGGGAGTACCTAAGTGTTCTGATCTATAGGGCGCAGCAATTCTATTTCTTTATATCCACACCAGAGAAACTCACCCAGGAGCATGGGATGAAGGTGCACACACAGTAAGTATTTCAAAGGAATATGGTTAACTATATGCATGCCAGCATAGATGTAAGTTCACTAAAAACAAGCAAACTACAGGACACTTTGGTATATTATTTTAAAATCATTGTGAAAGTATTTATCCATCTATGTAAAATACATAGGAAAAAAGCTGGAGGATAAACTCGGTTAAGTGGGAGAGAAGGTAGGGAATGATTTAACCATAACTGAGTGATAATTTTTTACCAAAAATGTATTTGTGATGAGAAATTTTAAAGAATCATATAGTGGCAGTACTAGCCTAACCTAAAAGCATTCCATTAAAGATGTAAAAATTTACTAGACGTTTTCACATTTCCTTGCTGAAGAGCTTATTTCATGTTTTACATTTAAATCAGTTAACTGCTTTCACACTGAAACCATTAAGTAGCTTGCTTCCTGCTTTTAAAATTAGTTACAATATTTTCAGTTTGCTAAATACCATGAACCCCATCACTCAGACCTTGCCAAAATCTTCAGAGAACATGGGCACAAACTTACATATCCAACTTGAAGACTACCTGTAGCCCAGTTATTTTTATGATACGTTTTATTCCACTTGACTACATAGCCAGAAAACTATTCTAGAAGGTATAGTATTCCTTATGGAAAACAGAAGTTTTATTATCCTTGTGGGCCTAAGAGTTTTCTAAAGAAACAGTTTGCAGGTACTTATACCAACCACTACCTCAAGTCATGCTAAACGTGTAATTTGAACAAAGCTAAATCATAGGTTTTGTTCTATGTAGCAGACCTTCACCAGATAAAATTCAGCTTAGTACCCAAATTGTTCACTGTTTCATCCAACTTAGACACAAAGTGCCATTTTATAATTCTAGGCATTAGATGACTAGTTAATTTTTGTTTAAACCATGTTACATTTGAGCTAAAAATGCACAAAGTTTACAGAATGGTAGCTTCTGAAACATTAAAGGGGGCACTCCTCATAGATACATATAGGTGCTAATATCAGGGACAAGTTTCAAGCAACCAGAGGGCAAATATATTATTTCATATCAGGCAATAACATAAACTTAGCCCAAATAATTGAATTAGAACATAAAGTGCATTAAGTTACTTAGGGATTTCCAAACGACCAAAGGTAGCCACCAATGGCCTATTGAAACATGTTCACAGACACTTAAAGGCAATCACTATTCACCAAACACCTGTGGCACTGACTTTCAGTTCTCAGAGCTAGAATTCCCTTTGTTTTTCCTCCCAGGCAGAGGAAAGCTCGATTTGCTCTGGGGCTGGGAAAGCTTGCTGGCTAAGAGAGTGAATGGTTCAATCAGGGTTTTCCGATCTGTGACCGTTACCTCCCACAGTCGCACTTTCTCACTTTTTGCCCATTGCTGTGCCACTTCGGCATCCACTTGTCTCTGCTCAGAAAGATCGATTTTGTTTCCTAATACGACAATTGCTACCTGAAAAAAAAAAAAAGGATAAAAAGATCACACTTTGCTAATGTCAGTTCCTAGGCAAAATGGAGAAATAAACTGTCCCACTTAACAGACTGCTTTAACAAAACCGATTCTCACGTGACCTGAAGTATAAAACAGTAGGACATGAACCTCCTTCCTCAACGCATTTTTGTTAAAAGCACAGATGCTCTAGGCTGTTTTAAATGAGCAACAGGTAAAGTTACTCGACTCAGCTATGAATGCAAGCTAGACTTGGGGAAATTAATACCTAGGATACCGATAATGGTTTGACTGAAATGTGCCTGCATTTCAGTTTCACTATACCTGCTCTGTGTGGTTTCCGTAAACAAATGTCAAAATATACTGAGAGGACTCTCAGAACTGAGAGTTCTGCATCCCTAGAACCTAAGAGCTATGAGAACAGGAATTTTGTTCTGTTCACATTATTCTTAATTAGAGAAAATTACCTAGCCCTGGCTGGTGTGGCTCAGTGGATTGAGCACTGGCTTGCAAACCAAAGAGCTGCCAGTTCCATTCCCAATCGGGGCACGTGCCTGGGTTGTGGGCCAGGTCCCCAGTAGGGGACACATGAGAGGCAATCACACATTGATGTTTCTCTCCCTCTCTTCCTCCTATCTAAAAATAAAATCTTTTTTAAAGATACTTTTAAGAAAAAGAAAATGACCTGAAGCAATACTAAATATTTATTGAGTACATGGACCAATAGCAACATTCTACAATAAATGCCAGGCAATCAGTCACTTAAACTTGGATGTTTACTACATACCAGGTGACCAAAACACAGCAGTCACCACGCCAGGGGAGAGGACATAAAAGAACCAAATTTTTGGACTGACTACAAAAATAAAAACGATGGGAAAGTGGAGGAAGGGCAGCAAGAACTGTCAGAGAAGGCGCCTCTGAGGAGAAGCTTTGAAAGAGAACCTTTGAGCCATTACTGTGTTCATGCCTTGAAGCTGAACCTGTGCTGCAGGTAAAGCCATACCTTCCTGGCAGGATGGGGAACAGACCCCAGAGCTTGTTTTCTTGGCAAATCTCGTGCTCCTCCATTTCTCAGCAGGAGCTGTCCCTTCAAGTCCTGCTGTCACTCTTCATCACCTAGATTTTTCCTTCACATAAATCCCCTAGTCTGACCTCCATCTCTCCTCCCTGATTGCACAAACGATTCCACTGTGCTCCTAGACTTCACAGAGTCCCCTCCCTACATCCCCCGTCTCTGCTTAGAATGTTCCTGTCACTTTGCCTAGCTGAAACCCGGCTCAGCCCGACAGTACTCTCCCTACCACAAGGTGGGGCCGTGGGGAGGATGCAAAGTGTCTTTGACCCTCAAAGCTGCCTGCAACATGTCTTCCTTAAAAACCTCAAAACTGGAGGCTGGCTCTGCTAGTTTCTGCTGCTGCCTCCTACCTGCTTTCCACCCCCACGTTGTTGCTGCTCATTACAGACCTGGCTCGTGGTCACGCGCACACTTGGGTCATAATTCCTGGTGATTTCACTTGCCATGTAGACGACCCTTCCCTAACCTTGTCTCTCAGTTCCTTGACTTCTTTAAAGATCTTAATCATCCTCCTGACCTCAGCCTTTCACTCCCACAAACACATCCTAGCTCTGAGCATTGTAACTGCTCCGCTCTACGATCTCCATCCCAGGAATCCCACTCCGACCTCTACCTTCCTAACACCCCACGACAGTTCTAAACACCACAAGGACCTACAGTCCGCTGGCTCTACCACCTCATCACTGTCCCTCCACCCCTCCCGTGTCCTCAGTTCCTCACCCAGGTTTAGGTTCTTTTAATTTACTCCCTTGCTGTTATCCCATTCTATGTACCAAAAAGTTAGATACTGTGTGATTCCACTTACGTTAACACTCTTGAAATGACAAAGTTACAAAAATGAGAACAGATTAGCATTTGTCAGGGATTAAGTAGGGCAGCGATGGGACAGAAGTATGTGTAAGTTATAAAGGTAACATGAGGGATCCTTGCGGCATGGAAATGTTCTGTACCTTGACTGCATAAATGTATCTTGGCTGTGATACTGTACCATAGTTTTGCACAATGTTAACATTGGGGAAAACTAGCTAAATATCGCTGTTATTTCTTGAAACTGTATGTGAATCTACAATTATCTCAAAATACAAAGTTTTAACATAAGAGTAACATGTAAAAACCTAGGTTAAGAACACCTAGCCAGTGCTGTTAACCGGCACATTACAGGACGTACTCCTAGATGATGAGGAGTCAGCTTTGGAAAGATCTGGAAAATGATCTATGATAAGAGTTCCAGGCATGAGAACTAGCAGTTGAGAAGGACTTAATAGTGGAAGAAAATGATCATGTTGGGAAAACAGAAAAGTGACCAGCGTCAGTGGAGTCCAGTGACAAAGGATCAGAGTGATTAAGATAAGATGAAAAGGACGGTCACGGGCCAAATCATAGAAGGCTTCATAGATGGTGGTAAAGACCTTATTTTTAAGTGTTAAATGGGTAGAAACCAATAATTTAAGTTATTTTTATTTTCTCCCCCTCTTTTTTTTTTTTTTTTGGTAAGGCTGAAAACAAGAATCCTACTTAGCATAGGTGACAATAAAGAGCCCCAGGAACCCACATCACCCCAGTAAATTCCATAAAGAAGGAAAAAAAAGAGCCCTAGGAAACAGTGATGCCACCACACAACATGAAATGAGCAAACTGTGTAGTACTTGAGATTGGGAGTCATTCAAATTCAACTTGTACATGGTAACAAGCAAAGGCAGAAGAAAAAAAATAAAAATATAAAGATTACAGGTACTGTGAATACAGTTTGATGCTTTAAAAATATTTTAACTACCCTAAATTCCACGCTATCATCTAAATAGTATTATAATTCATAGCTGGCATTTTTAACATACCCACTTACCTCTTTCTTGTCTTTAAACTTATCAATTTCTTTCTTCAGAAGCTCCACTCTTTGAAAGGACTCAAGATTGTTCACACTGTACACTAGAACAAAGCCATCAGCAAATGAAAAATAATGTTTTGGCAGTTCCACACCTTCCTGTAGGCCTCTGGTGTCATAAAGATGTAACTGTTCCTTTACCCCCCGGTCCGTTTCCACTGAAGCCATATACACATCTTCCATTGTTTCACAGTCTTCCATTCCTGGGACAAAAAGGAGATCGCTCTGTGTACCAATATCAAATCATTACATTGCAACGACTGTTGAGTATTTTCTCGTGCTTTAGAAGTTGCTGGCTTTCTAGGTTCCCTATTTACTACATGTAATAATCATATTTCCATTTACTAACTTCTTTAAAATGAAAGGTAGTTGTTATAGTACAAGAACAAACTTTTAAAAAATATTTCTTCTGGCCCTCGCTGGGCATTATTATCATTTGGTTGGAGCACTATCATGTACACCAAAAGGTTGCGGGTTCGATCCCCAGTCAGGGCACATATGTAGGCTGCAGGTTCAGTTCCCAGTAGAAGGATGTAAGGGAGGCAACTGATCAATGTTTCTCTCACATCCATGTTTTGTGGTTTTTTTTGGTCTCTCCCTTCCTCTCTAAAAATCAATTTTTTAAAAAATTTTATTTATTTTTCAGAGAGGGGAGAACACGGAGAGGGAAACTTTGATGTGTAAGAGAGACATCAATCGATTGCCTCTTGCATGTCCCCAGCTGGGGACCTGGCCCGCAACCCAGGCACATGGAACCCAGGCATGTGCCGTGACTGGGAATCCAACCAGCAACCTTTTGGTTCGCAGGCCAGCACTCACCCTACTCAGTTCCACCAGCCAGGTCTCTCAAATCTATTTTAAACATATCCTTGGGTGGAGGATTTAAAAAAATACTATTCTGTACAGAAGTGAAAGTATAAATAAAAATTTAGTAATGATTTAACACTACATATTTTAAAAAGTAACAAGAGTCAAAAAGAACTGACTACCTAAATTGGAAGATTAAAAGCTGATTTTAAAAGGAGCTTCAACAACTAAGTGGCTCTATTTTCTTCTCCTTCAGAGCCAAGGACAGGACCTGGGGTAAATTTGCTGCCTTTTTTCTGTACAACTTCCACTATTTCTAGGGTTTGTTTATGGGACTCAAAAAATTTCTTTGTCCAGTCTGGGCCTGAGCACCAGGCTTTAATTCCCAAGTACCTGCTGGGCTCTTTTATGTGAATGTCCTGCCAGTTCTTCAAAATAACAAAACTTGTTATTGTTCCTCCCTGCACCAGTTCCTCCCTCTTTGTCCCCCGCCCCCCATGATCACCATCCACCTGGGCAGTCCTTAGCGTTCTCTTTAAACAAGGATAGGGTGGGTGAGCGCTATCATAAATCAGCCACTCTAATGCTGAAACATCTTCTCAGTACAGTGCCTCCTTCCATTCCCATTATGTATTATCACCTGGACTGCTGCAACAGGTCAGTAAACATCTGGTAAACACCTTCATCCTTTCTGGACTCTGCTCAAAGTTCAACTCTGTGGATCCTCTCCTGATCATCCCCTTCTCTCCTTTCTGCTCCCTGGTGCCTTGTATGGGTAATCGCATTTAACATTTAAATCTCGGTTCCTTCCAAAGCTGGAGTGTAAACTCCTTGGGAGCCAGGACTGTGGCTAATCTATCTTGATAGCTCTGAGGACTAACAACTTGACTTACATAGAAAGTCCTTTATAAATGTTTGCTAAATAGTGAATTTATAATTGATATCCCAATTTAAGCCCCCTTCTTGCCTGAGTGTTCCTTTTAAAATGCATTCCTAGTCCCAGTTGGTTGGAGCATCATCCTGACATGCCAACATAGTGGGTTTGATCCTCAATCAGGGCACATACAAGAAGCAACCAATGAATGCACAAATAAGTGGAACAACAAATCTCACCCCCCACCCCACTGCCTCCCCACCTTCCTCTCAAGAAATTTTAAAAAATAATAAATTGCATTCCTGTTTTGCTTCATTTGTGCAGAACTGACTCTTCAAATAGTCTATAACTCCCTTGAGAGAAAGAAAACATTCTGTGTACATAGCAGGTATTCAATAATCATTTATTGAAAGGGGATTAAGAGGCAATTAACACTTAAAATTTTAATTGGTGGAGATGTATATGATAAGATAGGTATTAAAGTGTCCCAGGATTCATCTTCATATTTAAATATGAGCTATAGCTGGAGGTAAAATCATATGGATAACATCCTATGCCAATAAAATACACAATACTGTAGGTTTTAAAAAACTCTTGCTATAATTCTCTTAAGCAACCTAAATACTGTAAAATGTTTTGTTATAGGTGCCTTATATAAAATGTCTGAAGTATTAAACAAAATCTTCATGAAGTCTTAGATTAAAAGAAATAATCATAATAAAGAGATTGGATCATGAGAAAACAAGAATTTACTTTCATCAGCATAATTCTTTAAGGAATGTGTTCAATGTTTAGAAAGAAAATTATTGTTCAATTCCCAGCCAGGGCACATGCCTGGGTTGCAGACCATAACCCCCAGCAACCACACATTGATGTTTCTCTCTCTCTCTATCTCCCTCCCTTCCCTCTCTAATAAATAAATAAAATCTTTAAAAAAATTATTCATATGTTTGAGTATGTATCATCCTGTGATAAATTAACCTACCTTAAGGAAACTAAAGGTTACTCTATTAAAAAAACAACTTACTGGGCTTTGATTACAAAAAATCTTAAAAGCTACCAAGACTTGCCACAGTGGATGTTTTATCTACCAAAAGCCAGCCTAGCTACCTCCTGCCCCCCCCTATTAAATTTAGACATTTTGAGATTTTGTTACTTTATAAATTAGCTGAAGTCATGACTCTTCCATTAGCTTTCTAGATCTCTCACACACTCCGTGCTACTGGCCAACAACCCCGACCCCATACCAGCAGAGGACCAGGGGTACAATTTCTGGAGAGAGTAAAACAAAGGATGCTTAGACTGAGGGATGGAAGGTACAAAAACAGGGCAGTTAAGCGACATGCTCGTCCCATTCCCCAAACAGTAAGGTCTCTATCCTCCAGGCAGAGGAATAGGGAGAATCTGGCCACTGAAAAAGGTAAAATCCTAAATATGGTAACATTAGGGTTCCCCAACAAACCCCCACCCAGGTCATCTTATGAAGCTCAAACTCGTAAATCCTGTCCACATGCTTAGAGTTTTCAATAAACTTTTTCATTCTTCATTCTTAATTATGAATAGACAACATATGATTACCAGATACCCGAGGAAAAGAGAGACCAAAAAATCAGAACACACCACCTTAGATAAAAAAGGCTGCAAAATAAAAAAAAGAAAACAAAAACTATGCAATATTATAATCAAACAGATATGATAGTGCATCCATGAAATAAGAACAAGATACTAAAAAAGTGAAAGCAACCTAAGGGCTAGAAAATAAAGATAAAGAAAACTCTCAAAAAGTGGAACAAAATATTGAGAGATGGAAAACAGAGGAAAAACAGACTACTAGTCTAGAAGGTCCAGCATCCAAAAAGAGTTCCAGAAAGAACACAAAGGAAGAAAAGCATCAAAGTCATTCAGAACTGAAGAACATGCGTTTCCATATTGAAAGGGCCAGATTTTCTTCATGTATTTCAACTAAACAACCTATCACAACAGACTGAATACAAAAGCAAGAAGATATGATAATCCAGCTGCCTTCTATTAAACTGGACATTAGATTTCCAGAAATGTAAATCAATGCTCTTCTCACTAAATTTTTGGAAGATACTATTTTTCATAAAAACATGTTATCTTAGTATGTGGTAAGTTTAAGGAATGTGTTCAATGTGTTATTATTTTAAATAATAAGTATTTTTTAGTTTGTTTTAATTTCTAATACAGTAAAAATATATCCTACACAAACGAAAGCTGTCTGGAGTTTTAAGACGGTGAAGGGATTCTTCCCTCCACCCCCAGGCATAATTCAGAGACATAAATTAGAATCTTTTTGCAGAGACATAAATTAAAATCTAGAAGTAAAAAATTAAGAACCAATAGGGCAGCATTTGTAACAGGAGGGATTCAGAAACCAAAAAGTTTCAGAACTGCTGGCACAGACACCATAATAAAAACCAAATATGGATTTAACCAAAATTGTTAAATATTTTGGGATGGAGAAAGAGAAGCAGAGCTCGTCAAAATAGTTAATAAAAGATAGCAATATACTCTAAGCTACTTGCCAGAGATAAATACTTCGAAGATCTATGATTCTACTTATCTCTCTAACACAAACCTCTTTTCGCTCTAACTTGTACTGTCTGTCTTCTTTACTAAACCATGAACTCCTTAAAGCCCAAGATGAAGTCTTCTTCAACTTTGTATTTTCACAAGGCCTCGTCACAGCCCATACTAAGATTTAATAATGATTGAACTCAAATTAATAAATAAGTGAAAACATCCAATTCACAAAATTAGAGCATACTGGAGCTGACAGCTGTTTCTTCCATTTTAAAAACCTATACAGCAGCATTGGAAAGTCATGTTTGAAATAAGAATGAGATCATTCAGTGTATTCTTGTCAGTGATTCAATGACTCTGAGATCACTATTCATTTTGTAAATACACAGAAAACTACACATATAAAGGATATAACAACAAGCACCCTTGAATTTCACTCTCATAAAAGATGTGTTTTTTTTCTCTCCCCCATTTTTTCCTCCCTCAATCTCTTTTGACTTTGATGACCTTCTCGGTCCCTCTGGGTTCACTTTTGTGCCAGGCCACCCATCATCAGGTTAGTATGATCAATCAAAGACCCCTAGCAGGTCCTAGACCCTAAAGAGAAACTACAGAAAAGTAAACTTACCAATAGTATGATTCCCATAAAGAAGCTGCTCCAAAATCGCTGTTTTCCCCACAGACAGCAAGCCGCAAACCACAACCTTGCAGCCCTTTCCCATCTTCTCTCAGGTTACCACTGTAAAGAGAACAGAAGATCTTTAGAACTGTATATGGCTGCCCTTGCTGAGTCGTTCTTTTGGTAAGAGCATTGTCCCCATACGCCAAGGTTGTGAGTTTGATTCCCAGTCAGGGCACATGCAAGGATCAACCAATGAATGCACGAATAAGTGAAACAACACATTGATTGTGTCTCTGCCCCCTTCCCTCTCTCTCTCTCAAATCAATAAGTAAAAAAAAAAAATGTTTTAATTGTATATGGTTGAAATCAACCTTTTCTTTTTCTATGTTTCAATTTAGTAAGTAATACATACACAGGGAGATTTCAAATATAAAAAAAGAATACATAGTCCTGGCTGGTGTGGCTCAGTGGATTGAGTGCCGGCCTGTGAACCAAAGGGTCACCGGTTCAATCCCCAGTCAGGGCACATGCCTGGGTTGCAGGCTACATCCCCAGTAGTGGGCGTGTGAGAGGCAACCACACACTGATGTTTCTCTCCCTTTCTTCCTCCTTTCCCCCTCTCCAAAAATAAATAAATAAAATCTGTTAAAATTTTTAAAGGAACGTGCCACCTAACCACATAGGAAGAGGATAAAAAAAAATTTTTCCAAAGGATAAGAAAAAATGACAGCAGGGAACAAGTCTGTAGTCAGAAAGGTTGCTATTGGGACATAAGTCCTGGTTCTCTATTGTTATTTCCCCTTCCTCTGAAAATGTCTTAACCCCAACAGAATTTCTAAATACCAATCCTTATGTCAGCTGTCCTTCCTGTTCAATCAAAAAGTTCCTGCACCACACATTACACCAATCTAAAAAAAAAAACTCTCAAGTGCTTAAAAAAGGCAGATACACACTGTAGTTGAGTGCAACAGACAGTTTTAAGGAAAAAAACACCTAACAGCAGCAATAGACCCTCTGTAAAGGGAGGCAAATCTGAGTGCTGGGGACTGTGGCAAACTGGAAAAGTGCTGAAACCAACAGAATCCTGAGAAATTCAGAAATCAAATATTCCAAAGAGTTTTTTAAAGTGGTCTCAATATATCTGCTTTAAAAGTGGTATACTACAATTGTACTTTGATCACTCCTATTAGGACTAGCAGATAAAGTGTATTTAAAATATGTATATTTTGTGTGTGTGTGTAAATAAATACTGTGTTTTGCCATGTATAATGCACACCCATGTTTTTGTGCACATTATACATGGGATTATTATGCCCATTATTATGCCCATGGAATGCAATCATTGCACCCATGTATAAAGCACATCCTTATTTTTCCCTAAAAAATCTGTGCAAAAACGTGCGCATTATACACAGCAAAATACAGAAATGGGGAGGGCAAGGTTGTTTCAGCATACCACAGAAATCTCCATCACAGGCAGACAGTGAAAGGAACTGAACAGAGGTAACTCAAACACTAGGTAAGAATTTTAAGGCTTTTTAGGAAACAAAAGGAAAGAGAAGCTAGAACAGACCAATTAAATATCTTAGAAAGGAAAAAAGATGAAACGATGTACAGTCGATCAAAGCACAGCTGAGACATTCTAGGCGCCTAGCTGTCTTCAAGAGGGAAATAAGACTGCGTAAAGCTGAAGATCAGTGGCCTGTTACCATCAATTGGGTAGTTTGAATTCTTTAATAAATTAAAACTTCCCATAAGATTTTGAGTGAATGACATTAAATACGCATTCAAAAATATTTTATTTTCTATATATGGCAACAATGGTAAGGACCCATACTACATATAAGGAAGTGGTTATGCTTATACACACCCAGATTTACAAACAGAAACTACTAAAAGCTTAATTCTTTAAGCATTATATTTAATAATTCACAAACACAATAAATACACACCATTCCCTTCCAAATACAAAAAAGAGGTCATCTGCAGCACCCTGCATGGGCAGTGAATCACATGAGTGGATCCTGGGGGTGTCCAAGTCTCTTACGTAAATCTAGGTTGCAGGAGTTTGTAAAAGTACATGGATTATGACCTTTAATGTTCCTCATGCTATAGATGGAAACTACATTGACATTGAGGTTAACAAAAAAAAGCAATAGTTGGAGCTACTTGTTACACTCCTTACCCTCAGAAACTGCTGGAAATTCAATCCATGACCTATTAAAACTCATCTGATGTAAATAACTAAGAAAATGTGCTAAACAGGCAAAAACCAGTGCAGCTTTAAATACATACTGCTTTGCTTTACAGGCTAATTAATCATTTTGCTAGAGAATAGCCTTGGCTGGTGTTGCTCAGAGGATTGAGTACAGGCCTGTGAACCGAAAGGTCACCAGTTCGATTCCTAGTCAGGGCACATTCCTGGTTTCGGGCCAGGTCCCCAGTAGGGGGCGCGTGAGAGGCAACCACACCTTGATGTTCTCCCCTTCCCCTGTCTAAAAATAAATAAATAAAATCTTCAAAATAATTATCTTGCTAGAGAATAAAAACTTGACCTGGTTCATTCCTGTGGATAACACTGAACTTGGTCAATATTCTCTTTGAAGAGCCAATCAGAAACAGCTCCCTGAAATATCAGTACTTCTGGTCTTTTACCTCTGGAAATCATTCTACTTTTATAAAGAAAACACAACATTTTTACACAATGAAGTTTTTCCCATGTGATGTTTACATCATAACACCTATAATATCTATGATGTTAATGGTGTTTCAGTTATGTTTACATTGTAAGATCACATGTATACATCACATGAAGACTACACTGTCTTTTTATGTAAACATATACTGTGTACAATACTTTTACTACCCATATATGAATACATTTATATACATAAACATACACTAAAAGGGTTTCGCAAACAGAACTGCACATGAGCTTACCATTCTTTTATTCATTTAATAAATATTTACTGAGGGCTTATCTAGTGCCAGGCATTAGAAACAAACTAGGAGACAAAACCAGAAATGATCCCTACCCTCAGAAATCTCAAAATCAATTGGAAATACTAATCCAAATCTTGCAAAACAGAGAAACTGCAAATTAAGAAACAAAACTACAAAATCTAACTAAGAAATTAGCAATAATTATTCACATTGCCAGACTCTCCTTTCCCAAAGAGTTGCCCAATTCTGTAATCAGTCTTGATGTATTTTTCTCACACCCCACTTCTGGTCCATCAGTAAATCCTCTACCTTTTAAACATCCAGGTGGACCACTTAACACTTCCCTCACTCGGACACAATGAAGTGTCCAAGGTGCCAACTTCTCTCACCTGGTCTTAAAGACATTCATGTCATAAACCCCAAAACCAGGGAGTATTTCACTTGACAGAAGAAAAGAATTTTGCAGCTGTGATTAAACTAAGACCATTGAGATGGGGAGATTATCCTGGATTATCTGGGTGGACCCAATGTAATCACACCTGTCTTTGTATGGGGGTGGGGGGAGACAAGAGTGTCAGAAAGTGATAGGTTGATTTGAAGATATCATACTGCTATCTCTGAAGATGAAAGAAGGGAGCAAGAGCCAAGAAATACCAGTGGACTCTAGAAGCTGGAAAAGGCAAAGAAATAGATTCCCCCGCAATGCCTCTAAAATGAACACAGACTTACTGACACCTTGATTAAAGCCTCGTGAGATTTCTGACCTGCAGAGCTGTAAGAACAAATCTGTGTTGTTTTAAGCCAGTATATTTGCTGTCATTTGTTAGAGCAGCAGTAGAAAACGAATGCAACCTCCTCACTGGTCTTTCTGCTTCCACTTTTTCCCTTCTTTCTTTTAGCCTCAAAACTACTATCCAAACTGATCCTTTAAAAATATGTGAGCCGCATAGTTATCCTTCTGCTCAAAATCTTCCCGTGGTTTCCAGTCTTAAACAGTACGAAAACCCAAAGTCCTCCTAAGAACCTCCAGCTCTGTTTCCCCCGCGGTTCACTGCAGCCACACTGCCTCTCTGCTGTTCCTGTATTAATCCAAGAATACTCCAGCCTTGGCATTGGTCTCTCTGATTGAAATAAGTCCCCACATCTCCACAGCTCATATCCTTCAGGTCTCTTCTCTAACGTTCCTTCTCAAAAAAGACCCTGAACACTCCATCCAAAATTTCCACCGGTACCCCAACACTCCCCCCATCTCTTACCTCCCTTAACGGTTGTGCTTCGCACTTACCGCCCAGTACTGTCTCTTTCTATGTTTATTGCCCATTTCCAAGAAAGACGGCAGTTCTGCCTCGACCACTGCTGCACCCCCAGCGGTTGGGACACTGCCTGGCACGTATTAGACACTTCATAAATATTTGTTAATTGAATCAACGAATCATGTGAGGACTCTCACAATGGTAAAGCTGCGGTTAAAAAAAAAAAAGGAAAGGAAAGTCGGAAATAGGGGCGAAATAACCAAAACCGCTAATGATAGAAGATAAATATGATTCTCTTAAACCTTGGCCACACCTAAACTTAGAATGTGTAAAATTAAACCACACGATTGTATCAAAAATGAAAATATTCTGGAGACGTCAAAAACCTAGTAAACCATTTTTTCAATAACGTACGCAACACAAAATGTCAGCATTTTCTCGGCATTTCTTCCCTAAACACTCGCACCTGCCAACCAGATCTTGGCAAATAAATATTACGGTTTTCTTAAAAACAAAGCAAAACAAAACAAAACTGTGGTCTTGACGTTGTAATACTGGAACCACATCTCTACGCAGGAAAGATACAGGAATGAAAAGGCACAGAGCCACTCGCGCTCCCCCTCCCCGGACTCTTTTAGGACGAAAACCTCGGAACCGGGCCTGCAGGAGCTAAAGCCCTAACTGGCCGGCGGGAGGGTGGGGAAGGGTGCGCCTGGACCCTCAGCGGCAAAGCCCCCATCACGGACGCCTTATTTGGCGGCTGGGGCACAGTCGAGAACCACCTCGCAGCCCCAGCCTTCAGCGCCCGTCCCAGGGGAGAAAGGGGACAGCGTTTCCCGCAGCGACACCTAAAGCAAGGAGCCCGCAGTGCGTGAAACATACCCGTACACCAAAGTGACACAGACCTGCACACTTCGCAGACCCCGAAGAAAGCGACGCGCTGGCTGCGAGGCTCCAAGGCGGGTTTTAGCCACTGGGGCCCCGCCCCCAACTTGTCTTTCTCTCTGTGGTTCCCGGGTGCTCGCCAGTCGAAGCCTTGCCGAAGACCGTCGGCGAGAGCACAGGGGGCGGGACAAAAGTGAACGCTGCATCCAATCTCAGCGGAACTCCGCCCACCAGTCTCTCCCTCTCTCCCTCTCTGCCTCTCTGCCTCTCTGCCTCTCTAACTCCCTCTCTCTCTCCCTCTCTCTCTCCCTCTCTCCCTCTCTCTCTGTCTCTCTGTCTCTCTGTCTCTCTGTCTCTCTCTGTCTCTCTGTCTCTCTGTCTCTCTCTCTCTCGCTCTCTCTGCCGGAACTACATGTCCCATGAGGCTCTGGGGGGCCTGCAGCTTTCACCGGAAAAGGTTTCGCTAGAAGTGGGGGAGGAGTCCAAAAGGGATTGTGGGAGAAAGGTTCCTCCTTTCCGTCTGGCCGAAGCCATAAGGTAAGCTGTGTCGGAGATATTCACTATTCCATCCATCGCGGATCTCCCTTCAACTGAGCCATCCAGGCTTAGGGATCCTACTTCCTCGGAGCTTTTCCTGTTTCCAGTGCGGCGCGAATTTGATCAGGATGCGGGGCAGCGGGGATATGGAGAGGCGGCCCCCGGGGCGGACTGGGGGATGATGTGATGGCGGCGCGAATTCGAGCTGGGCCCACAGTGTAAAGGAAAGGAAGGCGTGGGAATGAGAGGAGTCTGGGCCAGGTCTTCCTAAAGCGAGCCCGGCCGGGTGGGTGGAGTAAGTGCTTTTTCCTAGAGAGTTAATCTTCGGCGGCGGGAAAATCTTTTCCTGTATAGTCCGCGAGGTCTTTTTGCAGACTGGGCCCGGCCCTTGAGGACGCTGTCTGCCGCAGTCATCCGCCCCCTCAGGGTCCAAGTCTAGCGCCATTTACTCGTCCAGCAAAAATGTTATTTTCTGCGTGGCGCCGCGCTGGCGTTGCAGAGGTAACAGAGCGCTGCTTTCTACGAGCGCAGAGGAGGGGTTTAGGTTGGCTATGCACTGCAGTTTGCGCAGAGCCATTTTCATCCTCAGTGGTTTCCTTGCGGTCGCCAGGGAACTAAGATGGACGGTCGGTCTCGTTTACTTTAAATGGAGGATGCCTTTAAATGCTCATTTTTTCCTCAAAGGTAAGCCAAGATGGGCGCTTACAAGTACATCCAGGAGCTATGGAGGAAGAAGCAGTCCGACGTGATGCGCTTCCTTCTCAGGGTGCGCTGCTGGCAGTACCGCCAGCTTTCTGCGCTCCACAGGGCCCCCCGCCCCACCAGGCCCGATAAAGCGCGCAGGCTGGGCTACAAGGCCAAGCAAGGTGAGAGGCGTCTGTCTGGGTGTTGGGATACAATTGGGTTCCCCGGGGAAAACCTAGAAACCCGTGATTAGAAAGAGCTGCTATTGCCCTGATGTAAACCTTCACATGGGGCTTTGGCAGCAACTGTCAAGCTATGAAAACATTGAAATTGTTTAGCAGCAAATGACTGCACGCAATCCTATGTCAAGTGTGGCATAGGTTACACAAATTTGTAGGAGCCTGGACTAAAGCCCATTAGCAGTCTAGAGTGGAAATGAGAAGTTGCTGTCTCCTTGTGTGTGGTTAATAAATTCTACCTCCATGGAGCATATAATATCTGACATACGGTGTGACTATATTTGATGTAAGAGCAAAACTGACGTGTTGAGTCATTCTGTGGCTTTTACAAGACCACCGTAATTTTTGTTTATAGGTTATGTCATATATCGGATTCGTGTGCGCCGCGGTGGCCGCAAACGCCCTGTCCCTAAGGGGGCGACCTATGGCAAGCCTGTCCACCATGGGGTTAACCAGCTGAAGTTTGCCCGAAGTCTTCAGTCTGTTGCTGAGGTAAGTAGTTTCTGAATAGTAGATTGGTCACCTCCTGGAGATGGTATACAAGGATTTGTGTGGTTTTTCTGATGGCTAACTTGTGCCTAAGTGAGCCCTTTTTGTTTTAGAAGTTTTAGTTACTAATCTAGGTAAAAAGTTTCAGTCCGAGATGAGACTTTGTAAATCTTTGTTACTAATTTGTCTTTGCTCATATGTGTATGGGAGAGTTGTGTTTTAAGATTAGTGTGAATCTGGAACCTAAGCTTTTCAAGGGCAGTAAACTTGGTCTGGAAGAGCACATTTCCCCAGGTGTATAGAAGCTATGTGCTTTTAAAAGGCAAAGAAGGCTGTGCCAAAGAAACCACTGTGGCCTGCAAAGTCTAAAATATGCAAAATATTAAGGTTTTCTATATAAAAGTTTGCTGACACCCTTTGTTGTATTAGAAAAAAGACAAAGTTCCAGAATCCTAAATTTTGTTAGCCAGAGAATCTTAACATTCAGTCCTTAAGGGCATTCACAAACCCCAGTCATTAGATGGGAATAATAGGGAGTGAGTTTACCTTTTCATTCTTGATGGTCACACCTCAAGTCTCTTGTATAGTGGTGAACTGAAGAGAAATCTTGGTTTCTAATGTGCTACTGTGGGAAATGTGGGAGGCTAACCTTTTTTCCTCTTCTAGGAGCGAGCTGGGCGCCACTGTGGGGCTCTGAGAGTCCTGAATTCTTACTGGGTTGGTGAAGATTCCACGTACAAATTCTTTGAGGTTATCCTCATTGATCCATTCCATAAGGCTATCAGAAGGAACCCTGACACCCAGTGGATCACCAAACCAGTCCACAAGCACAGGGAGATGCGAGGGCTGACATCTGCAGGCCGCAAGAGCCGTGGCCTTGGAAAGGGCCACAAGTTCCACCATACTATTGGTGGTTCGCGCCGTGCAGCTTGGAGAAGGCGCAATACTCTCCAGCTCCACCGTTACCGCTAATACGTGTCATGTTTGTAAAATTCTTACCTAATAAACAATTTAGGACAGTCTTGTCTGCTTAAAAGTGTTCTTTAATTTGTTAAAACTAGTCTGCAGATTGTTTCGTGAATGCATTGTCAAATTATGAAAGTTAAAGTGCAATAATGTTTGAAGACTATAAGTGATGGTGTATCTTGTTTCTCATAAGATGAACACTTGTTTTTGCTTTATCAGCGATTTTCAACATTTTTTCATTTGTGACACCAAAATGTGTATTAGTTTTTTGCTGGTCTGATAAAAAAAATTGGTGCAATTTTTGATTTATTCACATCAGGTGGCTATTGTGTTGGCTGTTGTCATTTTTTATTTGACAATCTAAGGGGAAAGCGGTCAGTGCCCCTGACTAAATAATCGGGTATTGCATGTTTTAAAAATTCTTGCATCACACCAGTGTGCCATGGCACACCAGTTGAAAATCGCTACTTTTTCTTGTTAGGGAGTTTTCTATGTCAGTGTTTAAAATCTGTTTGGTATGATAGGTGTAAAATAAACTCTGTGAAAAAGGAGTACAGAACTAGCTGTGTAGATTTGTTGATGCATGTGGTAAAACGTACAGCTTTATTGGGGTAATGCAGTCCTCTGCTGGTGTACTCAAGGGGCTCTTTTTAAGTTGAATTTTGCTTGGAAATGCAAAAGATAGTCTGTTCTCATAATCCTATGCAGAAAAATGAGTTAATAGGGGGGCCATATTTTTAGATTAATCTAACTGCTCTTCTGAAAGAAAAGTAAAAAGAATGCCACCACTTTTTAGGAGAAGTGAATGACCTTGTTGAAAGAGGGCTCTCAAAATTAAACGTCCCGATTTACCTAAACAAAATTAGCTTGGTCTCCACAGTACCATTGACTCACATAAAAGGTGGACACTGCTGGGTCAATCCCACTGCTGGGACACTTGTGGGATGTATAGAAGACTGAATTTTATGCAGCAGAGTAATGGTAATTACACTGGTGTATATTAAGACAGATGGAAATTGGACATGAGGAAAATAATTTTCCCCCTAGCCACCCTAGGGAGAGAAATTCACTTTAAAAGGATCTCTTGGCTTGGTCCATTTAATCTTAAAAGTCATTTTGGGTCAACCCACCATGTCCATTATCCCCATAAGGCTACTGAGAAATGTCATGTAGTTGGTGTCTATAGAAGTTCCTGGTTTCTAGTTGAATATTATGCACTGTCAATAGTTATTTTGCCCATGCTTCCTCAAACTACCCTCAAAATCCTTAACATTCCACAAACTCCAGGCCTTCAACTGTGCCCACCCTAATGGTAAAGCATACCACCACATTGTGTTTGCCTTGTGTCTTCCAGCAGACCAGGCTTCTGTGTTCCGCCATGAACTTGAGTGTGGGAAATAGAGAAGAGGAATTGGCCCCAATTACCAACTGGGTTTGCTGACTTAATAGGTAGTTTGGTTCCAAAATCTAAGTGTGGGTTTCTTTTCTTCGGAAATCTTAAAAGACTCAGTTAAGTGATATCCAGAAAACATTTGGCAGACTCAAAACCTCTTAAGACAAATTCCTTTCCACTCAAAAATCTTACACCATCTATTTTGTCTGTAGATGTTCACCTAAAGGAATAAATGTCTGTTAAACCAAACCGAATGGACCTTCTGTTATCTTTTGTCATCTAAATACTAATGGTTAAGGCACATGCCTAGGGTGCTGGTTTGGTCCTCTGGTGTGCCTACCTACATGAGGCAGTCAACTGATAACTCTTCACATCATTGTTTCTCTCCGTTTTTCTCCCTTCTCTAAAAATAAAGAGCACTTCAGTAGAGTCTAGAAGGAAATGGAGGAAAGAACCTGTACCCAATTAGATAATCTATTTTTCTAAGAGATCTAGGCAAGGAATATTCTCTGGGACTCCCTGTGATGGCCTCAGGCAAGCTTCTTACTCTTAATTCCTGTTTTTCCCATTATGAATATAAGAGAATGCTGTGCACTAGCAGGGGCGTGGTTAAGGGCAACGAATCTAGAGTCACATTGCTGAAACAAACTGCACTCCCATTTCCTGGCAGGAATGATCTTGGGCAAGTGGCTTCAAGTCTTTTAAGTCTGAATTCTCTTACTTGTAAAATGGGTAAAATAAACCCAGAGTTTGTCAGTATTTTTCCACTCCTACTTGGAGAGGAGTACTCTTCACAGCCTGGTTGTCTAGGTCAGACTTTTTAGAGAGAAATAGTGCTATAGTAGAACAAAGGGATCTAGTAGGTCATGATGGCTTCAATGAAATTTGTTAAGAGCCTTCCCTCTAATTCTGCACTTCCCCAAGCAACCATTTAATCAGTAATATGGTCTTTCAATTGGACCATGAATAGTTCTTA